TTAGGATCACACTGCCTCATATCGTTATTTTTTACTTTTTGTAACATTACACTTTGAGCTCATTTATCTTGATTCTCATAAAAGATATCAAAAATTAGTTAACTGATAAAGCATTTTTATATTATCACCCATATTTTCGTATAACACAAGTTTTAGATATCTCTTACAAAAATCGAGATAATTGATCTCTAAGTGAAAGCATCCACCGTAGCTCAGCTGGCAGCTGGTAGCAACGCGGCACTTCTAAATCTGAGCCCTCAAGTTCAAATCCTCAAGGGGCGCTTATAAATGAAATTTCGAACGAGCTCCACTAGAATGATTCGTAACTTAAAAGTTTTTTGGAGCATCCGCTTCCTCTTGTTCCCTATGTCATCCCGACACTTCCTTAACAGACAGTAATCTTTCGAAACCTCGCCATGGGCAACCCCAATTCTCATTTCCGGTATTCCGCGTCATTTTGCGTGTTAGGTTTGAGTTCTTTTACAACAACCTCCCACATACCATTTTGATGTCATCACTCAAACACTAACCATAACAATATATCGAGCAAGAATAAAGAAAAATAGTACAAGAGAAACTCTGATAAGACAGTGCAAATGACCAGCAGACTCACGTCACCTCCTCAAAAGTTTCGGAACCAAATCAGGAAATGGGTCAGGGAGGAGGGTGTGAGTAATCACATGTAACACTCAGGATTAATCACCTTGCGGTGTACTTAAGATTGACATTTTTGTGTTCGAAGATTTTTTTAGCGAGCGGACCACATTTTTAGTATCTCAAGCGATGTCTGACACTGATACCAGATTGTCGAGCAATGGCAGTGGCGATAACAAAAAGTAGGAATGTTGATTAGTTTTTTTTTGGAAAGGATTACTGTATTTTGTAGTGGTGTTAGTTGGAGCTAAACTTTGAAAGGTCAACAGCCGTCAACTTTGAGCCCATATATCTCATTTTCTGTGAAATATATCAAACAGTGTTCAACTAACAAAATATTTTTTATAATATCAAAAACATTTTGTCAGTTGATCACTTCTCAATATCTTTTATAGGAACCGAGATAAATTGGGTCAAAGTTGGGTCCTTGGCGACCCTCACTCTCCAAGAGAGACGCAGAGAAGCTCGCGCGTCTTGTTTCTCTGCTCTCTCGAGATTTATGCACTCGAGTTAGAAAACGGACAGAAATCCGTATATTAATTTTTGAAAGATTTTTTTTCCAATTTTCCAGAAAAAATCGATATTTCATTTCGGTAAAAATGACTATCTACATCCTCCGATCGCTTATTTGTTTTTGCTCATTGTGCTCCTTTCTAACACCCGGGCACCCCTCGTGTTGGAATACATAAACCACCCATTTTGTAATTTGATATCATGCTATTGGGAGCTCTTTAGGTCCAGAATTTCTCTAGTTTTTTCTTTCTATGCATTGGGCAATATTTCTGAACATTAATTTTGTCGATCAGTTGCTTTTCATGCTTATTGCTTTTCCCGAATTTTTCAAAAACTTTGTCTTATAAGGCATATCCAGTTCTTGAGATTTATGATAAGACAAACTATGATTATCTATTTTTGTCACCCCATTCTGTTCCGCAATCCTTTGATTTGGTATGATTGCCGTAAAAAGAAAGCTCCCTAAAATGTAGGCCAATTTATCTCAGCTCTTGTGAAAGCTATCAAAAAGTGGGCAACTAACACCATTTTTCTGATAATGTGATTAACATTTTGTCAGTTGACAACTTTTCAAAATCTTTCCCAGGAACTGAGCTAAATTAGGTCAAAGTAAGGGATGCCACAAAGCTCCCGTCTGGCACTCACTCACACTTTCAACTTTTAGCCAAATTAACTCGGCGCCTGTGACCGATATAAAAAAGTGGTCAACTGACAAAATGTTTGTGATAATTTGATAAATATTTCGTTGGCCTACCACTTTTTGATATCTTTTACAAGAACCGAGATAAATTGGGTCAAAGTTGACGATGTTGTGTAATCCCTAATCTTCGGTAACTCTTTTTTAGGTTCTCAGCTTTATTGCATTTTTGGGCCGCTAGGGTATATTATTATTATCATCAATTCATAGAATATCTAAACTGTGGGCACAAACAGTTCTATGGTACTTGTCTACCTTGTTAAGTATCCCCATTCATTAATAATCATAAGTGTTTTCCGAACCTCTTTAGGCAAACGAAAGTGGTAGCAATTGACATTTTTTCGCTGATTAGCATAAGTTATTAGTCTGTCTGTCAGTTCCTTCTATCAACCATGATTCGCCGAAATTTGGAGCATTTATTGATTATGTGAGTTTTTCAATGACCCCCTAGACTTTCAAAAAATTATTCAACTTTCCAAAAATTATATGACAATGACCTCGAATCCGAATACGTCAGAGCGGTGTTTTACAACATTTTATGTTCCTGTCAAATCCCTTGACATGGATTGTCACCAAACATCCAAACTTTTTGGGTTCCACGTCATCTGGATGATACTTTTGTATTCCGAGGAACAATGACGTGATGCGGTGAAAAAAATTGAACCATATCTGATCTTGATGACCCCATAGAGACTGTAGAATGTGTCATATTTTGCATAGATCAAAAATGTATTTTCGCAGAAATTTTGTTTATGGTATCAAATTTTCTAAAAACCTGAAAACCCATGTTTTCTTGAACACTAATTTTTTTATATGTTTGTTCTAAAAATAGCCTTAAAAATTATCTGATGGACTCTAAAAGTTGTTGGTGTACTAATTAAATATAGATAGTTATTTTAATAGTTGATACTGAAATGCCTCGAATAGAAGAGCCCACCCAGTGATGCGAATTTCAGAATGAACTGGATCGAAACAATAATAGAGCAATTGGACTGTTCTGAAGTTTGTAACAATTCCGAAAATCTGAAATTCCAAATTCTAATATCTCGAAATTTTTGTTCAAACTATCCAACATGTTCCAATCAAAATTTGTTTCCTCACATTACATTTTAAGAGGATTCAGAAATTCCGTTTTTTCACACCCCTGCTCATACTATCTACTTTGACCTAATTTGTCTTGGTTCCTGTAAACGATATAAAATAGTAGTCAACTGATAAACTTTTACTGATAATATGATTAACATTTTGTTAGTTGATAACATTTTGATATTTGTTGTAGGAACCGAGATAAATTGGGTCAAAGTTATAGGTGCCGCGCAGCCACCGGAGACTCACTCTAACTTTTAGCTTTCACCTAATTTATCTCAGTTCCTGTAGAAGATATCAAAAAGTTACTATCTACTTTGACCTAATTCATCTTGGTTCCTGTAAACGATATAAAATAGTAGTCAACTAACAAAACGTTTATCATAATATCGCAAACAGTTTATTAGTTGACAACTTTTTGATACCTTTTACAGGAACCAGGGTCCAATTCAGGATCCTCGGCACCCTTGCTTCCCTGAGAGACGCAGAGAAACTAGATTGTCTCGCTTCTCTGTGTCTCTTACTATTAGCCCAAACAATAGGCAGATAGTAACCTTATTTAGGAAAAATGAAAATTTACATGTTTCCATTTTCAATTTTTAAAGCTTTCTTCTAATCCCCCTGACCCAAACCTTTGACGCACTTGACCTAGACAAAAGTTTCGAAAGTTCCCTATTTCTTCAACCCTTAAATACCTACGTAAATTGCTCTCGCAAAATATAATATTGCCCGTAATCATTAGAAAGTTCTTAACACCTTTTTTTGGGTAGTGATAAGTGAAACTAAACTTTCTTCCCCCTTTACTCTCACTTTTAGCGCCCCAAAAGAGACTCTATATTGATTTATGAATTTCTTCTCTTCTCTGTTTATTTATTCTCCATACTATGCGGTAATAAGTTTTTGGAAAATGCCTTTTACAACAGGTCCCCTTGAAATATACTAAAAATTCTGAAAATTCGATAAAAACGGGGCAACATTAACAAAACCGGCCCCCGGGATTACCATTTGGGCCTTAATCTCCGCCCCCCTCTTCAAACAATTTTCGACTTTTTTCCATGTAAATCTTTTCGAGGTCAGGATTATCGGTGTGAGTATCGACTGGAGAAGACTTGATTCTGTTTTTCGAATTCTGAATAACTGTGTCTCTGCTTCTCTAATTCTCTCATTCTCTCATTCTCTAACCCTAAAGAGAAAACTAAGAAAAAACTGGAATGTCCTGGAGACGGTGAATATTGATTGATTAATCGGGAAATTGACCTAAAACCCATTTGAATATTTTCAGACCAACCATTCCCTCCGAACATAATCTAACGCACTCGAACAGCCTAGCTTCACAGGATGTGGGCGCACGTCGGCAATCGCTTAAAGTAAGTTTTTTTTATCACCAAAATATTATAATTAGGCTGATTAAATCTAATTAGTCTTGATGGGGTCCCAATGAAAAGTATGGGCTATCGTCGTCTAGAATAAATCGTTTATAATACATAATCCTATTTTTCAAAAATTTCCTCCATAGAGCCAATTTAAAAAAAAACATAGTGTTAACTTTGATCTAATTTATCTCGGCTCCTTTGAAAGATATCAAAAATTGTTAACTGATAAAATGCTTATCATAATATAGCAAACATTTTGTTAGTTTATTACTTTTTGATATATTTTAAAGGATCTAATATAAATTGGCTCCAAGTTAGAGGTGCCGCGCCGCTACCGGCTGACACTCAGCCACACTGCTAACTTTGATTCAATTTATCTTGGTTCCTGTGAAAGATATCAAAAAGCTGTCAACTAACAAAATGTTACTGATAATATGATTAACATTTTGTTAATAGATCATGTTTTGATATCTTTCAAATAGAAAGAGATAAATGGGCTCAAAGTTGTAGGTTTTATTGTGCTTTCAGTTTTGAGTTAGTTCTAACATTTTGAGAACCCAAGTTTTTAAATTCAAAAACTTCTTACCTAACTTTCCTTTAAACTTCTGAAACAATAATTTCTGAAAATACGGAATCATCATATCCCTTATTTTTTTCAGAATGGAAAAGCTCGTACGATGATGGGTGAAGAAATACTAACGGAACGAAATCAACTATCCCGACAAGATGCGTCGTGCTTCAGAAGCCCTCGAAGTCCTCTTGGACGGTTAGTTTTTTTTGGAGCCAATTATGAAGAAAAAAATCTGAATTTCAAAAAAAAAGAAGAAATTGTTGAAGTGGTGGTGATTTTCAGAGATTCTGAAGTGGTGAGACTAAAACTTGTCAGCTTTTATAACATTCGTAACTTAAGTGGGATTAGGTTGATATCTAAATAATGAGATTTCTGAAAATATTTTTTATTGCATATTCAAGCTATCTTTTCTAGCTTTGTAAGCCAACAATTTTTAGTTATTTTAAGCCAAAAATCTTCTTGCTGAAACAGGATTTTATCTTGAAATCCTCCTCCTGATTCACTTTCAAATATTCTCCTTCTAAAAAAATCAATAAATTTTATAATCATCTATTTTTCTTATTACCTTAAATCCTCTAATAGAGCGCCGAACGCCGCCCTCCCCCTCTTTCTCCCAACGTATTTCGAGCTCAATTATGTGGGTTCCTTTAAAAGATATCAAAAAATTATCAACTAATAACTTATTCATCGTAACGTTATCAACATTGTATCAGTAGAAAAATGTTTGATATGTTTCACTGGAATTAAGATAAATCGGGTTAAAGTTGTGGCTCTCCCTGAGAGACCCAGAGAAGTTAGTTTCTCTGCGTCTCTTAGTCCAAACACTTCTTGAGATTTGAGAGCTTTAATTAGAAGACAGATAGTAAATCCTCAATGGATTTTTTTCGATCGAACTGTGTGATCTATATCATTCTTTAAAAATTCAAATTTCCCGAGCCTCCTGTTCAAACATTCAAAACTTCTCTAACCCATAGATGCCAAGACTCCCACGCTCCGAAAATCCACCTCTTTCTCTATTTTTGGTTCCGATTGCACTCCGATTATACCGTCTGGCGTTTCGGGGTTAAAAAGGCATGAATAGCCAAAAAAAATCATCCCAAAAGTTTGCTCAACTTCTCATCCCTGTCCCCCTCTCGCTTTTTTTTAAACCATTGTTATACGACCCTCAGACTATGTATCGAAATACGGTTTTATACTTTTTGAAGTATATATAAAACAACCTCTTTGTGATGTGTGCCTTGAGAAAAGAGCACTTCTCGTTCGTCCCTCTGAAATGAATCATACCAATAAAATAGAACTATTATTCCCTGCAAAAAAGAGTGATGTCAGACAAAACGTCTCCAGATGACGTCACAGAAAACCTGTACGAATTCATGTGGAACTTTTCGGACAGTAGCCAATTTATATACTCTTTTTGTCCTCTCGTTTTTCGCGCAACGAGTAGACAAACTGTACTCTTTCTTGTTTGTCATCATCATTCAGAAAGTGTAGAGATGATGAGTCACAAAGAAACCAGAGAGCATGGAAAGTGAGGTGCCTGAGGAGCCGCCAGCGAACATCAAGGGGAGAGCAAAGAAGCAAGAAAGTGTCTGTCGGTGTGTCCAGAGAATTTTTTTTTCTGTTTGTCCGGAAAATACAACTAAAATTACAACTATACCAGCGAAAACTTAAAAATCGCAAACTTGTCATGCTGTCTGGGATACCAGCGTCTCCAACCTACCCAACTTCGAGCCAATTTATCTCTGTTTCTATGAAAGATATCAGAAAGTGGATAACTTGTTTTTTATAACATCAAATATATTTTGCCAGTTGACTACTTTTTGATATCTTTTACAGAAACCGAGATAATTGGGTCAAAGTTAGGAGTGCCGTGCCGCTACCGGTTGACACTTACTTGCACTTTCAGCTTTGAGTCGAGTTATCTCGGTTCCTGAGAAATATATCAAAAAGTTGTCAACGGACAACTTGTTCATTATAAAACTAAAAATACTTTGTGAGTTAACCACTTTTCGATATCGTTCACAGAAACCTAGATGAAATTAGTCAAAGTTTGCTGATTTTTTCGGCACCATAACATTACTGTCGAACACAGGGCAGCGGCTTTTTAGGATACTTCTGCTTGAAGTTTCTGTGTGGCTGAGCTTATTTCTGAAAAAAACGGACGATCTGGTCCACGGCAACCTACCTTGGACGCCTTAGTTAGTTTGAATCCCTGCGAAAATTTTGAAATTTCGATTGCTCAGATTTTCCAATAATTCTTCAGAATTGAAAACCAACGGTCATGTATTGGTCACTTAGCTGCTCTCGTCAAAATCCGGATATCCGTTTTTAGATACGTAACTATTATAGCGCTGAATTGAAGAGAAGATGCATTTTTGAAATTTTCGTAGAAATTTCGGATTTCCGAATTTTCATTTTCCTCTACCTTTGCCTCATCAGACTATTCTGACTCATTCAACTCTCTCTTGGGAGCCTTCCAGCCTTTTTTTACTGATCCAATAGTACATATAACCCACGTGACTCTATCCAACCTATAAATAAACATACAGGTGTGAAAACCTGCGCGAAATTTCGGGTCGTGCAGTAAAAATGACCTTTGGCAATCCAAAAAACGAGAACATTGTGTTCTGATGCGATTCGGATTCCGAATAGAAAGTTTGTCGTTTCGTAAAGTGATGTCATGAATTTGGGAATCCCATTAAGAACTTGGGCAATGTAACGGTCTACTAGAAAGACAGGATGCGAGATTTTGGGGTTGAAGAAACCATTCGGTTAATTTAGAAGATCAAGATCATATTTTTGTGGCGGTGTGTGGGTATAATATTATGTTATAGCAGTGAAAAAATCCAGTTTGAAACATAGTCGGCTGTGGATTAAGCCATCATCCTATTGATTTGGAACCTGGAAAAAGAAGACCTGTGTTCAAGAATTCTGAGTTTGATCCATAGATTTTCCAATGGATTGCTCCTTGGCCAAGCTGAAAAAATCAGTCTGAAAATGAATCTCAAAAATTTCGGAAATTCTAATTTTTCGAAAAATGTTGTTGTATTCTTTCTCATAGACGGTTATCCTCAGTTCCTCCTATTCCGTAATACACATATGACCCTGAATACCATAATAGAAGACCCTCAACTTTGACCCAGCTTATCTTGGCTCCTGTAAAAGATACCAAAAAATGTTAAACCAACAAAATATTTCTGATATTATGATAAATATTTTGCTAGTTTACCACTTTTTGATATCTCTTACGGGAGCCTAGAATAATCCGCCCAAAGTTTACCTTCAGGGTGCATCGAAGCAGTCTCACCATTACTTTTAAGCTTAAATATCCCGGCTCCTTAAAGAGATACCAAAAGTGGTCAACTAACAAAATGTCAAAAATATTATAATAAGCATTTTGCTAGTTTATCACTTTTTGATATCTCTTACAGGAGCATAGATAAATTGGCTCAAACTTGGCAAGGTTGGAGGCTTAAGTGCCTGTAGATAATGTGACAAATCTGCTGGCCAAGGGTTCAAAAAATTTTAGTCCCTGCAAAAGTAAGGATTTTGGAAACTGAAACGTCCAAAGACTGGTAAATCATAACGCGATTTTTTTAGAAATTATGATGATTCAGAACCCAACAGTCTGGAAATTTCATTGTGGTCTTCTCACATCATGAGGTGTCCAGAAAAAGGAATCGTATGATTTTTCTTTCATACATTTTTCAAAATTTAATCCTCTGAAAATCGAATTAGCCGATTTTTAGACGTCCCTCAAAGAATTTTTTTTCCTAATCTCATTAAAAATAGCTAGTAAAGATTTTACTGAGAGGTTGCGAAATTTTCTTTAGCAAAAAAATTCGTTTTCCCAGGGTCAAACGACTTTTAACCTGTCTGAATCTCCTATCTCTCCTCCATTTCCTCCAAATTACCTCTCTTATCATTCCCCATCATAAAATGAGGAGAAGCGGAGAGGTAGTATGGAATAAGGAGAGAATTAGAGATACAGACTGTGCCCCGCAAAAATTTAAAGACACAAAAACCGCCCCTCCTGTACCTGTCTTTTGTGGACACACAAGCCAAGTGTATAGAGAGAGGAATAGGAAGAAAAGACGCAACAACTTTCTTTCGGTTCTTTTTTTTTCATTCTCTAGTCTCTACATATTTTTTTGGACTTCGTCTGATATGCACCAGAATCGAAGACCTCCACGACCAAGTCCTTCGTTGAATATGGGTCATAACAACAATAACAATAAGAATTCCTCCACGAAACGTGGCGAATTACGGAGATTTCCGAAAATCTGTCAAGCTCATAGCCTCCCGACAGTACCATCTGAAGATGGGAAGGATGAGGATCTGATCACTCCGGTGCAAAGTCAGGATTTTGATTTCCGAGAGATTCAGCATCGATATTTGATGGCATTGCATAGGGAAGAGGAGTTGGAGAGTCAGAAAACTGATGGGACTGTTTCGTGAGTTTTTTTCTGGATTGGAAATTTTCTTTAAATTGGACTATACAGTACCGGACCCAAAAAAGACTTGAGTGATTAACTGTTTTGCCAAATTTCATGAGATGTACCGTTTGTAACCAAAAAAGGCCAAAAACTAGCACTGAAATGAAGGTTGCGCTACTTTAAAACCTCCTATCTCGCTTGGTTGGATTTGTACAAAAAAATTGTCAATGACGAAGTTGAAGCTCTCCTTTTGTTTAGTATAATCTGAAAATTTCAGACGAATCGAAAAATTCTCTTTTTCAAGACCCCGAAGTTTTCAAACGTTTTTTGAAAAAAAATTGGTTTTTTAGAGAGCGTCTGATTCAAATTTTCAAGAAAATTTTTGCACATTATGGCACTTTGACTATATAAATTTTTTATACGAATTCCTGAAATTCCAATTTTTCCTTATTTTTCTATTCCCTGATTTTCTGGAAAAAATCAGGCACGAGCCATTGAAAAGTATCTATAAACATAAACATTTCTTTTATGATTGTGTTTTGTCAACAAATTTTTTGGTTCTAGGTTTTTGAACAGTTTCTAATAGTAAGAGATCTAAGAATATGTAAATTTTTGGGTTTAAAAAGGATATTCACAAAAATAAACATTTAGAATGTTTCCATTCGGAAAAAAGGTTTTTAAGCTAATAATTTTGCGAGAAAACAATTCGAAAACCGATCTTACTCTAAAATTATATCAATTCTTGACGAAATCAATAATTTTGGAAAATATAAAAATCGCTAGACTTCTTTTTGAAAAATTTTTGGTTTTCAAAAATTCCTTGTTTATACGGAAAAATTTCTTGTTCATACGCTTGTAACAGAACCTTTCATATGAGCTTTCTGTTTAAAAATCTTCTTTCAAAAAAAAATTTCCAAGCAACTTTGACCCGATTTATTTCGGCTCCTGTAAGAAATATCAAAAAGTGTCAAACTGATAAAATTATTTACAGTTTATAATAATTATTTTGCTAGTTAACACCGTTTTGATATCTTCCACAGGACCCGAGATAATCTGGGTCAAAGTTAAGGGCCCTTCTGTCGCGAGCTTGGGAGGATGTCACGAGCTTTGACTCAATTTACCTCAGTTTCTGTGAGAGATATCAAAAAGTAATAAATTGATACTATCTTTTTGAAATTATGATAAATATTTTATCAGTTAACAACTTCTGGATATCTTTGACAGGGACCGAGAAAATCTGTCTATGAGTCAAAGTTACGAGGCCCTTCTATTAGTAGGTTTAAGCTTTATACCCTAAAATTTCGGGACTAATGACTCTGTTCTTTTTCGAATTTTAATTACTGTTTGTCAAATTTTCCAAAAACTCTAATTTTAACATTCCGGAGCTTTTACAGAAGCTTATCTTGAACAATAAAAAAGATAAAAAATACAAAATGTATCAACAAAATAAAAATAGTTCCGCCCACCAATCCGGGGGAAAAGAAATTTCTGGAATACTTTTCACACTTTTTTTTTCATCTCCAGGACTGTATGTATCACCACTTCCTATACAATATGTTCCCCCTCCTATGATAAATAATGTTTTCTTTTTCCCGATTCTCCCCAACTGACGACGTACGTCAACAAACAGAAAAATGATTCTCGATTTCTGTCTGTTCTCTTTTTTTGAGTTTTCTCCCGCTCTCAGCTGTTGACTAAAAAACTAAAGATATTTGAAATTCAAATTTTTTTTGAAATCGGAAAAATTCGAACTGGATTTTTTGGCATTGTTTTAAACTACGCCACCACTCTGGGTGTGTTTGCTTAGATTTTCTGACTTTTTGAATTCAACTTTTCTTTTGAAAAAGTTTCCAAAAGTGTCCTAATTGATAATTGAGTTTGTTTTATCACCGCATTATCGTTATCACTTGAATTCTTTGCAATGATAATAAAAAGAAGAATGTGACCTAGAAAATTAATCTGATTTAAAAAGAGCCAGAGGGGGATTTTCATTTTCAGGATTTTTTAAATAATCTGAAATTCGATTTTATCTGAAAAATTCCGAAATTAAATTTCAGCTTAAAATTTTTAGTCATTTTTTTCAGGAAAAACCTGTCCCTTTTTTTTAAATTTCGCCAAAATTTGAAATATGGGTCTAGACCTTTTTTCCAAAATATTCTTTTTTTCACTTTTTAAATTTTCTTCCAAATCTTTATTTTCGGTTTCTTTCAAAAATTTAAAAATTCCAAAATTTCAAAATTTCAAAATCGAAAATTCGACTCTGGAATTCAAAAATTCGAAAATTAAAAAATTACAATTTTCAAAAATTTGACAATTTAGAAATTTAGAAATTCAGAAATTCTGAAATTTCAGGAATTCAGAAATTCAAAAATTCAGAAACTCTGAAATTCAGGAATTCAGGAATTCAGAAATTTTGAAATTCCTTTTCGCAGCATCTTGGAAATTACATTTTTTGAAAAAGAATTTCAAACCCCAAAGAACTTTTTTTTCTCAAGTCCCCATTTTCCAAGACTCTCAAGATCTTTTCTGGTCTACCAAAGACCATCCCCAGTTAATTGTCCCAAGAAAGTGGGCGGAGCCAATAATCCCCCCCCCCAAACCACCAGATTGCTAATCCTTCATCTTTCGCGTATATTTCTGTCATTATAGTATTTTGCTTTGCCGATCAAATAGAAACATTCAGAAAAACAAAGATTCTCTTTTTTTTTTCTCAAATCTTAAGAAGACGTCAATTTCCACTCGCTAATCCTTGAATAATTTGTTTTCCAACAATTCTCCATTTTTTCCAATTCCCCTTTTTCCAATTTCTTCTCATTCTTTTCCTTTTACCATTTTATTATTCCACAAAATAGAAATAGTACAGTTCAATGAGAGACCCAGACACATTTTCCATGAGGAGCAACTTTTTTTATGGTTTTGAGCATTCAGGCATGTCCTTTTTTTGTTGGGGCTCCAGAATATTTTTTGGAATTGAAAATTGGATTCTTTTTTAAAAGAATATTTTCAAGAACAATAATTACCTTGTGTTCTCTTTTGTCTGAAATTTTTTCTTGACTAAAGAAGAAAAAAGACAAAAACTCCAATTATTTTTTCTCCGTTCGCTTTTTTTTGGCTAGCTAAAAAATTTTTTTTTTCATTGAATTTTTTTTTAAAAATTTAACTTTTTTTTAAATTCAAAAGACCGAAAATTCAAACTTTTTTATGACACATCTTCTCCTGACTGATTTACGACTTGTCAAAAAACTTCCTAAAAATTTTTTGTGAAGTTTCCTTTTTTCCCAATTTGTACTAAAATCTAAATCCAGAGTTTTTCGATCTCCCAAGAATCCAAAAACTCATTAATTCAATTAATATTAAGGCTTCGAGTTAGGCCTCTCAGAGCATTTTCCTCTACTTTTATAGGAAATTTTAAAAAATCACTCGTCACTTTTTGCTTTCTTCGCGATTCTACTTTTAGGTTTTTCAAATGATGATGTCGATTTTTAAAATAAAAAATACGACAAAAAGTGAAATCATTTGATCTGAATTCTGTTCTGCTACGTTTCGCTGTGATACCCAACAATTATAGACTAGTAATAAAAGGAGAGGGGAAAAAATGAAAAAAGTGACTTTTCATAGTTTTTTAATAGCTCTGAAAATATTGAAAATGTTGGAAAAGTCAAGTTTTAGATTTTACGAATTTTTTTTTCTGGAAAAAAACTGTGATTTTCATTTTTTTTTTTCATTGTCCGTTTCCTGATTTACGTCATTTTTTAATATATATTTTTTTTTAAATCCGGAAATCCTGTAATAGAAGGGCTCCTAACTTTGACCCAATTTATCTCGGTTTTTGTAAGAAATATAAAAAAACTGAAAGCTGAAAAAATATTATTGATAATATGAAAAATATTTCATTTGTTGACAACTTTTTGATATCGTTTACAGGAGCCGAGATAAATGAGGTCAAAGTTGAAAGTGTGATTGAGCGTCAGCCGGTGGCGGCACCCCTATCTTTGTCTCAATTTATCTCGCTTCTTGTGAAAGATATCAAAAAGTTATCAACTACTACAATTTTTATCATAAAATTACAAATATTTTATCAGTTACAAACTTTTTGATATCTCTTCTAGGAGCCGAGATAAATCGGATCAAAGTTTTACGTGTGATTGAGCGTCAGCCGGTGGCAGCACGGCACCCCTAACTTTGACCTAATTTATCTCAGTTTTTGTGAAAGATATCAAAATGTAATTAACTGATAAAATGTTATTGATAATATGATAAGCATTTTGTCAGTTGGCAACTTTTTGACATCTTTTAAAATAACCGAGATAAGTTGGGTCGAAGAATAGGGGTATTACGGTAGAAAAGATCAGGAAATCTGGACAAACAGACAAAAAATGGAATTCAAGAAAATGTGATAATTCAAGCTCTAACTAAATACTTTTCTAATCTAAAAAACCGGGAATTTCAATCTTCAAATTTTTTGGACAGCCTCACCAAACTAAAATCGTTGCAACCCTCCAAACTTCGATTTCCTTCTTCTTCCAACTTCCACCCCAGAAGTAAATATCACGAAAATTATAGGTTTTATCCCTCTCCTCAATCCAAAAATATCAAAAACACTTTACTCTCGTTTCTCTAAACCTCTCTATCCTCAATCTGCTATCCTCAATCTCTCTAGCTTTCCCAAAATTGGCATGATTCCTCCGAAGCAGATTTCTCCAAACAGCTCCAAACAAGAAAAAAGAGAAAAAGATGATGAGCAATAGAAGCGGCGACGGGGTGCGAAAACATTTGGATTAAATATCCAACAGAGGCCCGAAATTGTTGAGCATTTCCTCTCTTCTTCTTTGCTCTTCTTCTTCTTCTTTTCCATATATTCCTCCCTTCTCCCGAGAACAAAAATTCCTCTACGTCTCCTAGATTTTCTATACTATTTTTTACTATTATTTCGTGGATCTCCTCTACTTGATGCTTCGTTTTACGTACGTACACATAGCACACACACACCGCTCATGAATGCCTAATGAGAGAGAAAATAAGGAAAAAAACGGAAAAACAGAGAGGAGGGGAGGGTACTAGAGAAGGGATGGGACCCAAAGAAAAGGACAAGAGGACGGACCCTTCTCGTTTTCTTAAGACTCTTCTTTTTTTTCTTGTTTTTCTGTTTTTTTCCCCACATTCATTTTACTTACTACTTATACCTACTCTCGCCTTTTTTCTTTTTGAAAATCGAAAAATTCCAAGAAATCAGAATCCTGGAGATCGCCACTGCTGGGCATAATACTCGAGGCGGCGGTGATAAGAAGACAGCAACAACGACAATGGTTTCCAACACATCGCCGCCCAAGAAAATACGAAATATTCATAATTTAATCATCAAGTAATACAAAAAAGCCTGAAAATTGAAAAAAGAGGTTCCCCAAACTTTGGCCAAGATAAAAAGCGTTAAAGTTAGAGGTGAACCCGGCTGACAATAATTCACACTTCAACTTTGACCTAATTTATCTCGGCTCCCGTAATAGATATCAAAATGCGGTCAACTGATAAACTTTTACTGATAATATTATTAACATTTTGTTAGTTGATAACATTTTGATATATGTTGTAGGAACCGAGATAAATTGGGTCAAAGTTATAGGTGCCGCGCAGCCACCGGAGACTCACTCTAACTTTTAGCTTTCACCTAATTTATCTGTTGAAGATATCAAAAAGTTGTCAATTGATAAAATGTACAAAATTTTTATTTGCACAATATCTCTTTTAGAAAATGAAGTGTATCAGGTCAAAAACCTCTCTTAAAAACCTGAAAATCAGGAAAACCACAACAAACTACAATTACATATTCCCCTCCAATCAATGCATAATTATATTGTTTCAGAACCGATGACGCCTTCTTCGAAATCGACGACGACGATGACTTCTCCAGCCCCAGCTCCCCTCCCTCACCAACGTCCAACACTCCCCTGATTACTGTACCTCTGCCGCCAAAGTCTGCACCGCCCTTCCCAACTCAGGTAACTTTTTTTGAACTTTGAACTCAATTTTCTCGGTTATCCTCATAGATATGAAAAAATTGTCAACTAATAAAGTGTTTATCATACTATTACCAACATTTTATCAGTTGATAGATTTTGGAAATCTCTTATAGGAACCGAGATAATTGAACTCAAGTGCAGGCTATTGCGGTACGGCGCTCTTAACATGTTGCCCGTTGGTTCAAATTTTTTTCGGGAGGCTTCAATATTTAACTGTAATTCTTCCAGCCTGCCCCAACGATAAATGGAGATGTGTACCCTGCGTCTGGGACCGGAACACCTACAATATTATCAAATGGAACCCCACTTGGTCAAGGTAGAATGTCCCCGGCCCATTCTGCATCTAACCTGGTAAGCTCCAAATCCAACGTGGCCTAAAACAACAAAAACTTCATTCAGATAAACGAGTCCCGTCTCCAACAAAGTCTCTCCACCCCATGTAACGGCTCCGAAGAGGAAGTCTACGGTAGCAATAGCCAACGTAAGGACTCCGAATATCGAAGATTCAAATCTGAAGGCTCCACTGCTGGAGCAAGTTTACCGGCTGCTGAAAAAGTTCACATGGATGAGTTGTCTCCAGTGGACCAGCGAATCACATCGGGCACAACAAGATTCTCTTTGACACAACAGGATTCGGTGGTGAATCCATCGGTGATCACGAAACAGTCAAATACGGAACATCAGATGATGATGGCGATGAAGACCAAACTATCCAAGTACCAACTTTTTGTGGATAGAGCATTCGAGCTAATCTCTCATGTGCCTGCGTCGGATGAGAAAATCATTGAGGTGAGAAATTTGTGGATACTGTAAAACGAGTAAGCTTTGACCCGATTTATCTCGATTCCTGAGAGATATTTAAAAGTGATGAATTGATAAAATGTTTTTTTGATAAACATTTTGTTAGTTGACAAATATTAGATGTATTTTACAAGGACCGAGATAAACTGGATCGAAGTTAGAGAACCCTTATGTCGCGAACCCAGCAGGGTCTCTAAGCTTGGAGCCGATTTATCTCGGTTCAAGATAAAGATGTCAAAAATGTGTCAACTGATAAAATGTTTCTGATATTATAATAAAGATTTTTTCAGTTGATTACTTTTCGATATCTCTTACAGGGACCGAGATAAGTTGAGTCAAATTTAAGGTACCCTTCTATATACGGTATTTTAATGGTTTCCAAATTTCAGGGCTGCACAATATGCATCAAAATAATGAAAAAAGCATGGGTGACACCAAAAGTGTCATGTGACCTAGTCAACGGTCTTTGTGACTACCTTCGGGATCGTGACTACTTTGATAAGCTCATCAAAATGTTCACAAGTACCTCTGGAACGTCTTGTGATCAAGTGAAGCTGTCCTGTGGAAAAGTTCTGGAGGAATGCATGTTTGGAGCCAATCAGGACTTTGTTGTGAATAAGGTAAGAATACATTTAAGTTCGCTCTATAGATAAATCTTTTAGAATTACGTCAAAAAGATAATGACGGTTGCCATGAAGATGACAAAGACGCCGGATCAACAGAGACTGAGTTTGAGTTTGATGGAGAGTTTGTTCAAGCACAGTAATGCAGTTTCGTTAAGGTTAGTCATTTTGTACCATAATACCATAAGTACCATCATGCGCTCATAACTTTTCCATTGGTGGCTCGATTTGGCTCAAACCTAGACATACCAGATATGCTCTGGATATAAACAATCAAGTACACTTCAAAAACTTTATTTAACAAGTTAACCCTTAGTAACTATGATTGGTTGTCCCGGTTGTGCCGCTCCAGGATTCGTACTATTCAAAAAAATCGGTTGCTCATTTTTCCGAAGCATAAAATACAAAGCGATCCCTCCTCCAATCAGACAGCAACTACAACAAATCGCTCCAATGATTCCCAGAATTAGAACCCATGCGCCTACTGTCACATCAATTGTAGTCGTGGAAACCGAAAATTTTAGAAAGTTAGGATATGTAGAGAAATTTAATTTACACATACCTTTGCCATTTTTTCCGAGAACTGAAGAAGAGGTGGATTTTTTGATAGATTTCGATGCTCTAGAACCCCCTCTGAATGTTCCGGTGCCCTTGCTACTAATCCAACAAGAAAAACTAAATACCGTAAAATAGAAGGGCCCCACACTGTAGAGCTTAAGCTCAATTATCTCGGTTCCTATCAGAGATATTAAAAATTTGTCAACTGATAAATATTGATAATATTATGATAAATAATTTATTAGTTGACAGATTTTTGATATCTTTTACAGTAGCCGAGATAATTGAGCTTAACATGTACGGTATCTGGATCAGAAAATACGAATCACTTTATTAAAAAATTACTAGTAAAAAACTTGGGATAAATTTTTGAAAAGAAAACCATGTTAGGCATCAAAATCTGGAGATCCTTCTAGAGATTATACCGACGCGGTGCCTGTAGAACCTGAAAAATGTTTGTGTAAACCTAGCAATTTATTGTAACCGGTATGAGAAGAGCTCCTAGCTTTTAACTTTGAGCCAATTTTTCTGGGCTCCTATGCAAGATATCAAAAATGTGTGAACTGATATTTTTTATCATTATATCAAGACGTTTTTCTCGTTTGACCTACTTTTGATATCTTGCATTTGGTCTGGGATAAATTGGCTCAATGTTAAAAGTTATGCGACCCTTCTATTAGAGGTTTTAAGGTAGTTATTTGTATGAAAAACCTCTTACCTTTCCCACCAACTGAAACTTGCCTAAAACAATGAATAACTTCAAATAACTCTGACATGACAGAATCAGTCTGAAATTGCCTAAACGGACGAAGAACGGATCAAAAGTGTTTGGCCCAAAAATGACTTAAATTGCTCAAAAATGTTCCAAACTAATCAAAAAAAGTTTGAAAAGCCTGAATTAATTCAAAAATGGACTTGAATGGAAATTTTCCAAAAAGATAACTTTTTGAATGTATTAATTCTCATGTTTCTCACAATCAGTACAATATAGATCGTTATCAATTATTTATTAAACAAAAAATAGAAGATTTTTTTTAAAGTCAAGTTAAACGGGAGCTGGACTAGCTGCTGGGGCTGCTGAAAATATTTTTTTATTAGAATTGGCTACTTTGTCAGAATCCCCCGGAGTCGAACTCCTAGCCAAAATTTTCGGGGTTTAGTGTCTCAACCAGCTGAGCTACGCGGGTTCTCAATAGATCGTATCTACCAAATGATATTATTTTGAAAACGGTATCTTGTTTATGAACAAAGTTACAGACAAAAACAGAGACCCGGCCTTCGCGACAAGGCCCGGCCACTTTATGACTTGTAACTTTGTTCATAAGCAAGACACAGTGCTTCAAATAGTATCATTTTGTAGTACTCGGCGAGTTCTATTATACTTAATTCAGTTTATCTAAAAATATTGTTTCTGGAAGAAACTATGGCAAGGCCCGCAAAGGGCCCGGCAAATCCCCGGTTGCAAGTATACTCAACTCACTATTCACAACAACCACATCATTTTTTCTTCGAGACATTATAACGGCCACAATGATAGCGGCAGCACTGATACAAAAGCAACAGATAGTGACAATAATTGAAATCCAGATGAAAAAACTGCTCCCTACGATGTCTGGGTCCAAAGTGGTCGCTTTCTGAAGAAATATTTGTTCAGCTTAACGATCTCAGTTCCTGTAAGAGATATCAAGAATCTGTCAACTGGTAAAATACTGATCATATTTTGGTAAAAATTGTATCACTTGACAAATGTTCGATATTTCCTATAGGAACTGAGCACAGAGACTTCGAACTTACCGCCATTTTGTATCATACAGTGTAATGAACGTTTTGAGACAATCCAACAATCAAGTAGTCTACAAGAGAGACCACTGGTTTAGTGACCTAACCCTTTAGCATGGTTAAGAATTTCGGCGAATTTTTAAAGAAAATAAAAACTTTTGGAGATAAGAAAAAAGGGTACTAAAACTTGGAGAAAGCAATGAATAACTTCAAATAATTCTGAAATGACAGAATCAGTCTGAAATTGCCTAAACGGACGAAAAACGGACAAAAATCTGCTCATAACTTTTCGGCTCAAAAATGGCTTAAGTTGCTCGAAAACGGCCAAACTAATCAAAACAAACATTTAAAATTCCTAAATTTATTGGAAAGTTGCTTTTGCCTGACAAAAATTGTCGGAGTCAAAAAGTCAAATCTAGCTATCACTATATCAAATGGATTTATTTAACCAAACGAGTAGAAAGGGCGGATTTTAGAAATAAAAAAAACCAAGTTAAGCTCCAAGTCCTGGATCCTCTTCCTCGGGTTTTGAGGGTTCAGAATTCATTGCACTTGTACCTCCCGTCTTTGACTTCTTCTTGCTCTTCTTCGAAGCAGCCTTATGGTTAACATCTGGAGCGGAAGCTGGACTAGCTGCTGGAGATGCTGAAACTATTATTTTATAAGAATTGGCTTCTTTGTTAGAATCCCCGGAGTCGAATTCCTAAGCAAAGTTTTAGTGGCTTAGTGCCTCAACGAGCTGAGCTATAGATTCTCAATAGAGCGTATCTACCAAACTCTACTCACTATTCACAACAATCACATCCTTCTTTCTTTGAGACAATTTAATGCCCACGACGACAGCGGAAACAATGATGGAAAAGCAACAAATAGTGAGAAAAATTTCTATTGCAAGCCAGACGAAGAAGTTCATTACTGGGTAGGGATCCTCAGTGGTCGTTTACTGAAGCGACATTTGTTGAGCTGAATTATCTCAGTTCCTGTAAGAGATATCAAAATTATATCAATTGATAAAATTTAGGCAATACTTTGATAAAAATTTTATCAATTGTCAAATTTTTGATATCATTTATAGGAACTGAGCTCAGAGACTTCAAACTTACCGCTATTTTGTCTCTTCCACTGTCATGAAATTGTTGAGATTCCAACAATCAATTAGTCTACAAGAGAGACCAGTGACCTAACCCTTTTTAGCATGGTTAAGAATTTCGGCAAATTTTTTTTTGAAAATCAGAACTTTTGGAGATAAGGTATTGAAACATGCCTAAATTAATGAATAGCTTCAAATAATCCTGACATGACAGAATCAGTCTGAAATTGCCTAAACGGACGAAGTACGGACGAAGAACGGATCAAAAGTGTTTGGTCTAAAAATGGCTTAAAATGCTCAAAAATGTTCTAAACTAAGCGAAAAAGAAATTTGAAGTACCTAAATAAATTGAAAATGGATTTGAATGCAAATTTTCCAATAAAAGAGCTTTTTGAATTTATCAGTTTTCATGTTTCTCACAATCAGTACAATATAGACCGTTATCAATTATTTATTAAACAACAATTAGAAATTTTTCACAACATCAAGTTAAACACCAGTTGCTGGATCATTATCCTCACTTTTAAGATCCGTATTCATTTCACTAGTACCGCCCGTCGTTGACGTCTTCTTGCTCTTCTTTGGAGCAGCCTTGTGGATAACAACTGGGGCAGGAGCTGCTGCTGGGGCGGCTGAAAATACTATTTTTCATTAGGATTGTCTTCTTTATCAGGGTTCCGTTCCTCGTGGGACAATTTTAAGAGTACAGCTTTTAAATTTTAGTCTAAAGCCTCGGAATTAAACCCCTAGGCGTAATATTAAAGGTACAGCGCCACAACCAGCTGATCTACGGGGTCACAAAGCCTATGACTTACCATTAATAACCACAGGCGCATCCTTTTTTCGATTTCTCGTCACCAAGAAAATAATGACCCCGGTGATGCTAGAAAGACAACAGCAAACTCCAATACTCACAAATATCCATAGCGCCGCAATGCCCCAAGGAGTGAGACTGGCGTCAGTAGTGGTTTTCTGGAACAATTAAGGGAGTGGAGCACAAAAGAAACAACTTACCGCCATTTTTATGGAAACGCTAATACTGGAAAATCATGTTTATTCCAAGATTCGTAGCATCACTGCTCTATTGAACTGGCCGAGTGGACCGCTCTATTGAACTGACCGAGTGGAAGCCAGCTAGCAGCGTGGTTTTTAGCATGGAAATTTCAAAAATGATACTTAAATTGGGAATAGTTTTCAGAAGACATTTTTAGGCGATAAAGAAGAAAAATTAACTAAACTTTATTACTGCATAAAATCAAAAAATCTAGACTCTCAATCCAGGATCTTCTTCATCCCTCTCAGTAGATCCATCTTCACTTTCATCACTGCTCAAATCATTTTTCTTTTCCTTATTCGGAATTTCGATTTCCAAATGATTACTCTGAGCTGTCCTAGCTGGAGATGTAGAAGATTTGATTAGATTTCCAACCATTTTCCTGTTGCTTATTGTAAATAACCGCTGTGACGATGGCGTTGAACATAAGGCAAAATCAAATCGAGCCGAGAATAATGATGAGCAATAGGACGGAGATGGTACGAGATTTATGCGTAGTAGTCCAATCACAAGTTTCGGTGCCATTGATGATAATGCACTGAAAACGGAATCGGGTAGAAATTGAGTCTGAACGAGTATCTTACCTCAGCATGTGGTACGGTCGATGCCATTATGATTAACATGGTTTTATTGTAATGTTTCAGTTTGACCTTTCCGTTATCCTGGACCTTCCAGGGCATCACAGGTTAGGCTAATGGGAAATTCGGTGTTTAATAACTTTCTAGAAGCCTTAAGAATCTAAACATCTTGAAATTGGGTAGGTCTCCTTAAATTGTGATCCAGTAGAACTTGGGTTAAGAGGCTTATGTAGAGATTCATGATCTTTCAAATTTAGCATCTTTTTGAGCTCAATTATCTCGATTTCTGTAAGAGATATCAAAAATCTGTCAACTGTCAAAATATTTATAAATCAAGACAAACATTTTATCAATTGACAAATTTTTGATATTTCTCATATCAACCTAGATAATTAAGCTCAAAGTGCAAGAATAGGAGCGTTCGGCAAGCTGCGGTAGCAGCGCGGCACCTCTAACGTTTGCCTACAAGTTCAACTCCTCAAGAAGAAAAATTTCGAGAAAATTATTTTTTTCACTTCCCCCATCTCTAATTAACCTCTAATTATTTTCAGCCTAATCGAGTCTGACGTCATCGAGCACATCATTCTCACCTTCAAACGAGCCACTGGCTGTCCTGACATCCTCCGACATGCTGCTCTTGGAATGGCCAACCTCGCTCTCTACTCCTGTTTCGAAGGAAAAAAGAAGATTATCCAGAAGAAAGTTCCAGACTGGTTATTCTTTCTGGCTAGTCAGGCAGACGATGTAACCCGCTACTATGCTTGTCTGGCGACCTGTACGCTGGCAAGTGTCAAAGAATTCGAACCAGCTGTTATCAAAACTGGAACTCTGAAGTTAGTCGAGCCATTCCTTCAGTCTCATGATCCCGCTACATTTGCCCTGGAGCATGGGAAATACTCTCAGGGAAGACCAAAGGATTGGTTGGAGAGGTAAGCAGGAATGATTTAATTGGTCTAGGAAGTTATTTTCAGACTATTGCCAATGCTGAAATCGAGTCGTCGGGAAGCCAGAAGCATCGCCGCATTCCATTTCACTTTTGAGGCAAAAATCAAAAAGGAGCAGCATAAATTGGACGTTTTTGAGGTGGGTTCTTTAAGAATGTCCCCCATATTATTGCCCATCTTAAGTCACTCTTCGTAGAAAGAAAACCAAGAAAAAACTGTCGAAATATTTCGAAATTACTGAAATTCGTCAATTTCTTTCTCATCATCCAATTTTGTCCAGACGCTCTCTACTCACACACCCCAAATATAAAGTTCATTGTGATAAGAGAGAAAGAAAAGAAAAAAACGAAAAGATGGTTTTGTTTATATGTCCTTGTGTGCAAAAGTGACCGGAAATAACAATGGGAGTTTCGCAACCTTTCTTTGAAAATCACTTTTCAAAGAACGGGGACTGTACAAAAACTGAGCAAATATAAATACGAATTTGCAGCATTTCATAGTTTGATATACTTTTTCGATTTCTTAGAGTTTCGTATTTGCCTGATAATTGCCTAATTTGCTTAATCGCATTCGCCTAATTCACTACTTTATTTCCAAAGCTAACTGTAAGTGTCTTCTGAAGAATTAGCTCTACCAAACTTCTGACCTAATTATCTTGGTTTTCAACAGAGATATCAAAAAAATGTTAACTAAAAAAATGTTTATCATAAAAGCAGCAATATTTTGTCTGTTGATGTTTTTTGTATATCTGTTACCGAAATCGAGATAAATTGATTCAAAGTTGAGAGGTCCTGCCGAGCTCGCGGCAGAATGGTCCCCTAAATTTGATGCGCTTGATCTCGGCTCCTGTAAAAGATATCAAAAAATTGTCAATTAACAAAATGTGTAAAATGTTATTTTCTACATTTTATTATTCAAACACATTTTTCTATCTCAACTGGGAGCCGAGATAATTGGGGTTCGAACTATTGGACTAACACGCTGGTTCCGCCCCCGTAACTTTCAGTTTTATTATCTCGGTTCCTGTAAAAAATATCAAAATGTTGACAACTAGCAAAATGTGTAAAATGTTATTTTCTATATTTCATTAATTGATAATTTCTTTCTTTGCTGTCAGCTGAGATATCTCCCTTCTTCAAAACCTTTGCATCATTCTTCGACCAAAGAACGCCACTACAGAAATCTAGCGAATCGTTCCCATAAAATTGCCGCTGTGATATAAAAAAAAGTGTATTGTACAATCTACCGAACAGAATTGTTAGTAGTTGGTAAATTTAGAATCTAGCGAATTGTAAGATTTGTGTTCTGTATGCTTGACTAGGCCCACGTGTGTCTGTCTGAAAAAGGAAATAAAGGACACCCGGACAAACATACATTCCTGCAATTTATGAAATTTTATGTTCTGAGATAGACCGAAAAAATACCGGGTCTCAAAAATTAACTTTTGGAAAATAAAGTTAAATTCAAGTTAAATGAATATATTGAAATTTTTATACTCTCTACTTTGAGCCTATATATCTCGGTTCTTGTAGAAAATATCTAAAAGTGATCATCACAAAATGTTGATGATCTCATGATAAACAATTTATCAGTTGACAACTTTTTTATATCTCTGACAGGAACCGAGATAAACGCATTTGAAGTTGTTTATCGGTCGGCATGAGCTAACTGCGACCGCTCAGCTCAGCCGGCAGAGGCGCAGCTCTTCAAATATTTTGCCCAAAAGTTCGGTTCCTCGATAACCTAATTTCCCTTTGAAAATGTTCAAAACCAAACCCTCCATTCCAGTTTTACCAAATAAAAACATCGTCAAAAAACCCCAAAGTACCTGTCCTTTTAGCAGCAAACATAGATTAAACACACTTTAACTAAAAACAATTATATTAACAACAGTTTTATCAGTCTAGCCGTTCTGATAAGAGCGGTAAATCCCCTCAAAATTTAGGTCAATGTCAGAAAAACAAAAAAGTATAAGCGATCAGTTTGGTGATCTTGAACATGATCACTCTGCGAAATCCATTAAAAAATAAGTTTCTGGTTTTTGAGCGTCGAAGTGTACAGAGAACATTGGAAGTTTCGGCAAAAATATATACAAAGTAGACTGTACTCGGTGCAAAAAAATTGTTTTTTTTTTCAAATTTTCCGATGATCTGAAATTTGACAAATCATGTTTCAGATCTCTGATTTTTTTTTCTGAAAAATAACTGGAAGTTTCGGTAAAACAACAGATTTTTAGTTTCAGATTGATCATGGTTTTTGATCGTTACCGAAAATTTTCTATTTTCAGAGCATTTTGAAATTTTCGAAATTTCAAAAATAACTGATAACTTTTTTGGTCAAGGAATCATAATTTCAAAACGATTATTTTGGAAAAATAATATTTTGAAATTGCCTGGAATTTTAAAAATGTCAAGAACATTGAAAATAAAAAAAAACAATCATAACTCGGTTCATTTTGAGCTATACTCAATGAATATTGTACCGTTGGGATCACAATTTTAAGCTTATCATTTTGAATAAAAAGCAAAGCTTAGACTAAAAAATGCTGTCCTAAATTTCACCGTTTACAATATCAATACCTAAGATGCCCCTTAACTTTGACATAATCTAATTAGCTTCCTGTGAAAGATATCGAAATTTTGTCAACTGATAAAATGTTTATAATAATTCAAGCAACATTTTGTTAGTTAACATCTTTTTCATACCTTTCACAGAAATTAAGAAAAATTTGCTCAAAGTTAAAAGTTAGAACTTTTACGGTAACTTCACCATTTCCCAAATTCCCCCCAGTTTCATTCTAAGAATATTTATTTCAAAATTATCTTCAATAATTTTTCAAGTCATTTCAAGCAGTTTCGAAATTTAGTTCCTATTCTCTCTTATCAATAACCGTGAATAAAACTCTTCCTTTTGTTGTTTATTGTTTCCGCAAAAACAGTCATAAACTTTTCACTAACCTTAATGAATCACTTCCCCTACCGGTAGAACCTTTTTAGAACCTTTTTTTGATAAAATGAAAATTCTTCCGATATATTGACATGTTCGCAGGAATGTTATCAAAAGAGTTAGAAAGGGTTCCTTCCTGTGAAAATGTCAAAAAAAGTTTCTTCCTTAATAGGCTCGTTTCTGATAACAAACTTTGAGTCAATTTATCTCGGCTCCTGTGAAAGATATCAAAAAGTAGCAAACTACAAAAACATTTTTTATAAAATTTTAAACATTTTGTTAATTACGTTCTTTTCCATATCTTTCACAGGAACCGAGATAAATTGGTTCAAAGTTAGCACTCCTTTCGGGCGCGAATTTGGCCGACGACCAAAAGGCGCCACTGTTGACTTAATTTATCTAGGTTCCTGTGGGAGATATCAAAAAATAGTCAACTGACAAAATATTCATTATAATTTCAAAAATGTTTTATTAGTTGACCATTTTTTGATATCTTTTATAGGAACCGAGATAAACTGACTCAAAGTTGAAAGGCAGCTAACCCTTTGTGAATCATTCTGTTACAGGTATTATAGTAAGTTTCAACATTTTTACAATTAAAAATAAACATTCAATGAGTAGGATTTAAAAAAATAAAAATTTTCTTCTGTTTGCCCCCCTCCTACTGTTTTCCATCTAATTCTCTTTCTCCGTTTCTGACTCAAATTGTGTCTCCTCTCCCCCATCTAGCTTCTTCGCATTGCCCGCATTCCAATGTACCTCAACAAAGACACATATAAGAAAAAGAGAGAAATTTCATAATCATTTGCATATCTTATCACAATCTAATTATCGTTTCCGCGCACCGCGCGGGACCCCTTTCAGGAGAAAGAGATTCGGAAGGTGAAAAGTGGGATGAATCATCCTCTCCGTCCGCTGCTTTTGCATGAAACAATACGCATGACGCATATGAGAAGAATTCTCCATTTTGAACATGTCGACGAGGACGACGAAAAACGTAGAACATATTCAAAAATATTATTGTAGGTACGAGGCTTAGTGTTGACGTAACAACAAGGGCATTTGACACAGTTCGCATACAATAACATGAACTTTCGAAATGATCTACTGTTTGTTAAGCACTAATTATCTCGGCTCAGAGTAAAGATACATAAGAAATGCCAATTAATGAAATGTGTCATTTGAAATTTTACACATCTTGTTAGTTAACATTTTTTAGATAGTACGGAAGCTTAGGTAATAGAGCTGAACGCGAGAAGAGAGAGACAGCAAGCATCAGCGGTTGAACTGTAGTTATCTCGGCTCCCACATGAGATAGAAAAATGTTGTGAACTGAAAAAATGTATAAAATTAAATTTCAAACATTTTATTAGTTAGCAACTTTTTGATATCTCTCACAGGGACCGAGATAATAGGATTTGAAGTGTACTATAGTGCCAGCTTCTCTTGACTAGACCCAACTGTCAATCTGACCACCCCTCTACCCCTGTTACGTTTTCTTCAACTTCCCGCACAAATTTTTTCCCGGAGCTTCTCCTGATGGCGCCATCGTAAAATTGTTGATAATGGTCAGAATCATCATCATGATCATCATCATCATCCTCTATGACCATCATGGCGCCATTTTTGCAACAATTTTTCGCTTAATAATATCATAATGCTCCTCTCCGAAGTCTTATCACCACTATCTTTTCTTGTTATCAGAAAAAGGGCTTGACTCTTCTCGTAAAACGATTTGCTTCTCACGTAACCACCCAACCCAAAATGACTCAAAAATGATCTAGACTCGCTGGCCGATGCCGACGTCATCACGACTCATCCCGACCTGATGACGTAGGCAACGGTACAACACAAAGAGTACAAAAACCGTAACGGTAATCCGGTCCATAAATAATTGGCATTCGGCCAGCCCCGGCGGCGGCATTGATGATGACGTAGGAGGACGCAACGATTCTGAATCGTCTGATTCATACAATGCCATTTTCTGCAAAACGCATTTAGCAGCTTCTGAAGACCCAATTACTTTCGCTTTTCTCTGCTTCAATAAAACCACCAAGCCACCGTAACATCTTCGCTGAATGGGAGTGAACAGGCTTGCGCAATCTTGCACATTGTAGTGTAATTATAGCTACGAAGTAGTTTTATATCTAAATTAACTCAAATCCTAGCTCTTTTTTTAAATTCCATTGAACCTGTACCATCTGTTGCGTCTATCCTAATTATACATGCGTACAGTATACCGCGCTACGCAATATACGCATCTTTTCGAAAAGGATTATAAGGAAGTCGACGGACAATTAATAATAGCGACGCAATACGCAAGTAAACAACTCTAGTGGTCCGGTCGTATATTTGAATAGTGACCGGTAAAAGAGGGTATTGCGAAATAGGAAGACAGACGCCGATGGTCCGATAGGAGAGTTTGAAACATGATGCAATTTGAATGAGAGAGAGAGAGAGAGAGAGAGAGAGAGAGAGAGAGAGCCTTGTAAAGGTACCGTATCCCGAAGGTCAACGGTCAAATTGAACCCAATTCTGGCGACAGCCCAGACGGGATCAGCCTGAAGTATCACTATTAAGGAATCGGGTTTCAGATGAATTGGCTCCATGGACCAGTATGTTAAGCTAATAGGCTAGAGCCATAACTAAGAACCATTTTAATGGTGCCAGGACCCGCTAGGGCAGGCTTCCTGAAGACTCCACAACTAGGTCTGATTACTGTAATCTTGTTTTTCCATGAAAATGTTAGATTTCGCATATATATACCCTAGGACCAAAACTACCGTAAACACTCTAATAGAATGGGACCTAGCCTAACCTCAAACTTGGAGCCTATATATCTCGGATTCTGTAAAATATATCAAAAATTATCAACTAATAAAATGTTAGTGATAATTTGGTAAACACTTTGTCAGTTAGTCATTTTTTTGATATCTAATACAACAAACTAGATAAATTGATCCAAAGGTAGAACCCCTTTCGGCCGACAATGGTGCATGCGAAAGAGGTGCCACCTTTGACTTAATTTATCTCGGTTTCTATGAGAGATATCAAAAATTATTCAACTGATAAAATGTTGGTAATATTATGATAAACATTTTATTAGTTGACAAATTCTTCATAATTCTTACAGGAACCGAGATAAATGCTCAAATTTGGGTGAGCTCCTATTAGAGGAGATACGGTATACCTAAACTATATTGGCCCCTTAAAATGATATAAAAATTTCCAAAATTTGCAACTCTTTCTTTTTCATATAATTTTTTAAAAGTTCCAAAGTTTAACTTCTGCCCTAAAAGTTCCTTGCCCTCTTACACCAAGAAGTAGTGTATAGTTTCAAAAAACCCTTCACTCTTCCTCCCCCACTTCTTTTTTTTATGTCGGTCTAAACCGCTATACAAACATTTCGTCGAGAGAAAAGAAGAGCTTGACCAACACAACAAGACTGTTAATACCAATCATATGGTGTTCCCATCCGAGACGCTTCTTCCTTTACCGACGATCAGATCACCATGTGATCGTATCCCTTGTCACACCTTGTTTCTTCTTCTTAGACTATTTTGTTGTTTGTAATACATTTTGTTTTATACACTCTGAAATACCATCGACCGCAAACAAGACATACACACTGCTGAAAAGGTTTAGTCCGACGGTAGTTACCTTTTAGACAAAAATAGACAAACTGGTTGAAAAAGCCTGTGGTTGCTGTGTCCCGCCGCGTCGCATCGACAAAGTATCATAGATCAAAAAAACAGTGACAGCTGAGAGAGAAGGATGATCTACAGTTTTTCATATATTTACGACTGGAAAAGAAGAAGAAGAAAAGGAGACAATCCGTATTTTATTGTTTCACCTTTTTTTACCTCATCGGGCCGACGCTACGAATAGTGTTATTGTGTTTTGTAGGCAGATTTGACTTAAGCATACTGGTTAGTAAAGTTGGTCAAGTCCAAACAATGGAAAAGCCAAATTTGTACTTATTTTTGATCATAAACTCTGATTTTCTCCAATTCTGACCTGTCTCAAGTCTCAAGTTCATTGTTCCCAAGACCGCCCATGTGAATGTTGTACTCAAAATGTGTTTTGTGTCCGTTAAACACACTTTCTTCAAAAGGGAACACGAACACACATACATAATTAGAAGAAATTAAGAATTAGGGTAGCTGCTGCGTAGCTCAATTCAAGTGGAGCATTCCATGAGCTCAATTTAAAGGAAGTTTTGGGTTGGCGAGCGATTGGCGGCTGAATAGCGGTTGAGAGATTTGAGCTCAATTATCTGGGTTCCTATCAGAGATATCAAAAATTTGTGAACTGATAAAATGTTTATCATAATATCAGCCACATTTTTTAAGTTAACAAATTTCTGATATCTTTTACAGTAACCGAGATAAGCTTACTCAAAGTTAGCACCTCTTTCCGGCGCGCATTCGTCCGACCACCAATGGCGCTTACTAAAGAGGTGTCCCCTTTGACCCGATTTATCTTGGTCCCTATAAGAGATATGAACAATTTGCCAACTACAAAAATATTAGAAATATCATGACCTGCATTTTACCAGTTAACTAATTTTTGATATCACTTACAGTAACCGAGATAATTGAGCTACATGTTTTTTTTCTGTTTTCAGTCATGTGCCATTCCTCGGGGCAAGTTACCAACCAGGCTGATTTAGAATTCAGTCACCTGCCACGTAGAAATACTGATGAACACCCCACAACCAGTTGGTTCAGCATGAGCAATCTCAGCCACGTAGCAAGACCAAAGCACTGTAGTTCTAATTTAGACAGCCTTACCAACAACTAGCTTCCCCCATGAGTCAACCTCCTGGTAACCAAGGAAAATATCATCAAAGTATTGCCTTGCCACTCCATCATCGGTTCCAAACACTCCAAAAAAAACTCCAGCAAATATTTGGACAAAATGAGCAAGAGCCTCTTTTGTCCATTTCCACCCCGGAAGAACTACCCTTATCTCGAACCGGTCCATCACTTCCTGGGTGACCTTTTGCGGAAGCCGACGTTGCGGAGTGGGGAATCGAAAAAGTATTGCGAAACATTTCGTATTCTGTTGTACCGTTGATGGTTGCCAATCAAGATAAGGCAAATGGTTTATTTGTATTCCGCGCGGAATGATCTTGTCTTAGGAGACGTTGCAGAAGAACTTCTTCTAAAGAAGAGGCCACGTGTTTGAAGATCATGCTAGGGCCATGTTTAGTGGTTTGATTTCGAGGATCAGCAACAGGCGCAGGCGCCAGTAGATCGTAAATGAACACTACCATACGATCGGAGACCAAACGGTGATTTCGACTAGGTTAAGGAGCTTAGCGTTTTGCAGAAACTTCTACTCGGATTGGTCCTAGTGTGGACTCTCTTTATCTGTATATGAATATATGTACGGTTTGAGACCAACAACCGCTGTACTTTGTCCCTTATTTTCCAGTCTGTATACATAATACAAAGAGACATCTTTGAAGATCAGAAACAGGTTTAGACCCCCACCCTCAATCTTTATAGGTTGATAAGGAGAGAGAGAAACAGAGACAGAGATCAATTGTTGTTTGTTTGCATCATTATTTTTTTCTAGAATGAGACAACTTTGATAGGTTGGGTTTTTGAGAGAGAACAAGGTCGTTGAAAAAGTTTTTAAAAAAGGTGAAAACTTTCAGAAAAGTGAGCTGAGGCTGAGGCTGAGGCTGAGGCTGAGGCTGAGGCTGAGGCTGAGGCTGAGCTTCAGGTTAAGCTTGACCGATGATATTCCGAATAAGCCAAGCTACTTTAGGCCCCTCAACCCAACCCGATCTAGATGTTACTACCCGATCCATAGGATTCCCCTATTTTCCCCAACTCTCCTGATCAAGTGATAGGATCAGCCCTAGGTATTCCAGACCCTTCTGCACTTCGCAATCGCTGAACCCTGGTCCCTTGTTCCCCCAGCTTTTGCTTACATTTTTCAACCTGAACCGAACAAAACAGACCTCCTAGAGACACACAGAGAGATAGATGCATCAAAAGCGTCAGCTGGGGGGAGACCCCCATAGATCAGGTCAAGAACAACAATTTGTTTATTTTTTAATGTATCAAATTTTGTGATCCTCTCTTTTTTACATGTTTGCGTTTGCTTTTAGAGAGAGAGAGATAGATACAACAATCCAAAACAGTTCCATCCTTCCTGACACTACAAACAAATACAAAAATGCTCAAAATTTCCTCAGTATTATTTCTTTCTTTTTTTCCTCATGAGCAACATCTTGGAGCCCATCGTCTCTCTAGTCTCTCTTCAACTTTCACAATCACTATCTGATGCCTTCCCGGCGGGAGACCAACAAGAGACGCAGAGGTAGTTGTTGGTGGTGGCATGCGGGAGAAAAAGGGGCGGAGTCTACCCGGGGCGGAGAAACCAGCGAAAAGAGAAAGAGACCACCCTCAGTTAGTGTCATTCAAACACAAACACACACCCGCTTTTCAATACAGTCCTATATGTCTATCGTTGTTGTCTCATCACCAATGGTCCCATTACCATTCAACGAGAACGTGGCACCCGAGTGTCGTAGGAATCTATTGCCAAAGGCATCTCCTAGGCCACGAGCCGCGGTCAGTCCATTCGTCAGATCGCCTAGTCCGGCACTTTCGAATTCGTCGACTATCCCATCTAGACCTTCAAGCCTTACCGATCTTCCTGTCCTTCTTGGTAAGGAAGAGAACATAGAAGTTCCAGAGGTAATGAAGAGTCCCGAAATGATTGACGAGGACGAAACCCCAACCATTATTTCTACCGGCCTAGACACCCCATCCACGTCTACTAAAGATTCCTCAATTCTTGCCAAGCTACCATTCCATTCTCTACTTAAAACGCCTCTAAAGACCCCACTGAAAAAGCTGCCCCTAAAAACGGCACTTGTCATCCGACCGCAATTCGTTGCCAAGGAGAACACTGTTCAGTTGGAGAGGTTCCGAAGGTCCAAGACCCGACGATTCTTCCATCCGTACGCACAAGTGAGTTTTTATCTTTTTGTGTTTTATTCCGAATTCTAAAATAGAAACTTTGCCTCCAAGTTTTGTCCTTTTCTGCAACTTAATTCTCTTTCTTCCTCTATCAGCTGTCTTATCAATAGCAATGCCGCCTTGTTTAATTCTTTGATTCTTGTTTCATCGATTTTGTAGACTACAAGATTTGCTTTTTAGGGATCTAGGTGTTGCTTAGTTGCTAAGAAGGGACCGTTCCTCAGGATCTCGGAAGCTTTAGGGTCAACCTTCCTCATAATTGCTCCTTTTGGGATTCCCTCATATTTGATAGTTCCTCATGCTCTTAGGACAGGATCTTAGGATCGTAGCTTTCTTAGGGATTCGAGATTTGCTTTCTAGGAACCTAGGTTTTTTTCCCTCTCAAGGTTCGGAAGCATCAGGGATCTAGGTTAACCTGTTTCACATTTCTCATGTTAATACTTCCTCAAGATCTTAGGGTTCTTAGTAAGGAGCCTTTCCTCAGAACTTTTTAAACCTCGGAAGCTTTAAAGCCATACTTCCTTCAATATTTCTCGGTCAACCATAATCTCACTTTTCTCATATTGACCCTTCCTCATGGACAAATCCCCCCGTTTCGTATTTTGTGATCTACCTACAGTCCAGGTACATTTCGAAACGTTGCGAAACGGTCTTGTTTTGGTCTCTATCTCTCTTATAAGATGCTGCTGGGCACGAGCAAACACAGACACCACCACACGCAGCAGCACAGCAAAATCTTTTCACACTTCTCGATCAATCTGCATTTCCATCCTCGTAAACCGGATTCTTTAGGTTCTCTCTTTATTGTTTGAGTATGACTCATCTCTTTTTTTCTACTCAACTCATTTTGCACAGTCCTCTCTCTCATTGATATTCCATAAATTGAGCCGTGGAGCCGATAGCTTCCGGTGGCTACCATCCATTACAAATTCCACCCTCGCAAAGCCTATATAGCCGGAAAAGTTTACTAGTCACACATGTGTATTATCATCACCTCAAAAAAAAAGAGAGCATACGATAAAAAGTTTCGTATGGGACAACGCCCAGGAAAACCACCTTTTCCTTCTTATCACCACTATCAGGCGCTGAATCGTATTCTCTGCTTCCTGTTTATAGCTAGCTTATCGCTCTCTCCAAGAAATTCAAAAAGTATCTGACCTTCCCAACCTATTCGTCCAGTTCTCAAATGAGTAATCTCCTCCCTGTTTGCTTAGTCAGCCTAGACTCCGCCCCCTTTCTCTCGGGATTTGAATTCAAACGAGCCAAAAGCTCATTGACCTCTATTACGCTATAGATAACGCAACCTTTTTCTTTGACTCGGGGACTTTATTCAAAACTAGTTGCGCCATAGAAATAATCCTATCCCTCCGGTCACTATATGGCGCAATCTGACTATAATGGTCCCGCCCATGGCCCAGATGGTACAAGTTCAATCTCTCCGGTCAGATATAGCGCAATCAGGACCATCTTTGTAAGATGGCTCTTACCTACCGGTCAGATATGGCGCAACTTGAGGAGAGGGCGGGGCCTAGGAGATAGATGGTCCCATCCTTCCCTTAACTAGGTGTGAATCTTCCTACCAGTCATTACGCCCCTCTCCTCACCCTAGTGACCAGTCGTCTGTCATTTCTTAGCTCCCCTAGACACTGGCCACATGCGTATCTTCGGATTCCTCCGTACCATCAAATTCCTATTCACATGTTGCGTTAAGGTAAAGCTCCTATTCTTGTTAACTAGGTTGAAAATGTACCTTTATGATAAGGACCTTATCTCAGAACCCCCGAAACGTCTCCCTACCTCATCTAACCCTATCTAACCTTTTTCTATTTCCAGGAAATCGGAGCGATCCAAGCCCTAAAAGAAGTGGCATCCTCCCCTGACGAGGTTGCCGCCAAGAACGCATCCGAAGCACTGACGATCATCGGCGAGGAAGTCCCCTACAAGTTGGCTCAACAGGTACCTGGCTGGACTTGTGACGACGTGCAGTACTGGGTCAAGAAGATTGGCTTCGAGGAGTACGTTGACAAGTTTGCAAACCAAAAAGTCGACGGAGACCTTCTACTTCAACTCACCGAGACTGATCTTCGACAGGACGTTGGAATGGTGTCTGGACTTCATCGTAAACGATTCTTGAGAGAACTTCAAACCCTCAAAGTTGCTGCCGACTACTCTTCAGTAGATGAATCGGATCTAGACAAGTTCCTGATGGGTCTCTCACCAGAACTCTCTGTTTACACCTACCAGATGCTTACCAATGGTGTCAATCGTGCCCTCCTACCATCGTTGACAGATGAAATGATGCAAAACGCGTGTGGAATCACGAACCCAATCCATCGACTCAAGTTGACTCAAGCCTTCCAAGATGCTAAACACCCTGATGATGTGGAAGTCGCAATGCTCTCCAAGCAAATCGACGTCTTCATCTCCTACAGAAGAAGTACCGGAAACCAACTGGCCAGTCTTATCAAGGTCCTCCTTCAACTTCGCGGATACAGAGTATTCATTGACGTTGATAAGTTGTACGCCGGAAAGTTCGATAGCTCACTTCTCAAGAATATTCAAGCCGCCAAACATTTCATTCTGGTGTTGACCCCAAATAGTTTGGACCGTCTCCTCAACGATGATAACTGCGAGGATTGGGTGCACAAAGAGCTCAAATGCGCGTTTGAACATCAAAAGAACATCATTCCTATCTTCGACACCGCTTTTGAGTTCCCAACGAAGCCTGATCAAATCCCGGAGGACATTCGAATGATCACAAAGTACAATGGTGTTAAATGGGTCCACGACTACCAAGACGCCTGTATGCAGAAGGTTGTCAAGTTCATCTCCAATGAGTTGAACAGAACCACACCGACAACCAAAGAAGTGAGTCGGAATTTGATTTTTTTGGAAGAGGATTTGAATTTCGCTGTTTCAGATGCCATCTGTGACTCGCAAGACCACCCAACAACAGAGATGGCAAACGACGAATGTGATCCGCACCGGAACATCGTCTAGAAGTATTAACAGAGGATTCGAGCCACCGACGCCGACTTGTAAGTTTCTTTTTTCGATTTTCAGTGATTTGGGGGCGC